GCTCTTTTGCTATTATTCTCATCCAGGGTATTTTATCTCAGACATTGAGTTTTCATCTCCAGAAGCTCAATTTGGATTTTATAACTTCCTTGTTCTTGTCTTTCTAAATGTTAAGTATTCCCTCTAGCTTTTTATTCTTATGTAATATATTACAATAGCTATTTTATTATCTTTGCTAATTCTATCATTTGAGTCCCTTTGGGGTCAGTGTTTTGAATAAATTCTTAAGTATTTAAAAAAAATTTTTTCAGCCGGCGCCGCGGCTCACTAGGCTAATCCTCCGCCTTGCAGCGCCGGCACACCAGGTTCTAGTCCCGGTCAGGGCACCGGATTCTGTCCCAGTTGCCTCTCTTCCAGGCCAGCTCTCTGCTGTGGCCCAGGAAGGCAGTGGAGGATGGCCCAAGTGCTTGGGCCCTGCACCCGCATGGGAGACCAGGAGAAGCACCTGGCTCCTGCCTTCGGATCAGCATGGTGCGCCGGCCGCAGCGCGCCGGCCGTGGCGGCCATTGGAGGGTGAACCAACGGCAAAGGAAGACCTTTCTCTCTGTCTCTCTCTCACTATCCACTCTGCCTGTCAAAAAAAATTTTTTTTTCAAAATTTATTTACTTGAAAGAGTTACACAGAGAGAGTAAGAGACAGAGAGAGAGAAAAAGATCTTTCACCCATGGGTTCACTCCACAAATAGCGGAGGCTGGGCCAGGCCAAAGTCAGGAGACGGGAGGTCTTCCAGGTTTCTGACATGGATGCCAGAGCCCAAGCACGTGGGCCAGCTTCCTCTGCTCTCCCGGATACATTAGCAGGGAGGTGGAGTGGAAGTGTAGCAGTCAGGTCTAGAACCAGCACCTATATGGGATTCCGGCGTCACAGGCAGCAGCTTTACCTGCTACACCACAGCACTAGCCCCTAAGTCGGTTTTAAATTGTTTTCTTGTCATCATGTGCCATATTTTCCTGCTCTTTTATGACTTTTTTTATTAATGCCAAATACCGTTCATTTTACATTGCTGAGTTCTGGATTCTTTTGTATTTCTATAAATACTTGAATTTTTCTCTGGAATGTAGTTAATCAACAGCTTGATCCTTTCAGGTTTTGCTTCTTTTTTAAGATATTTATTTATTTGAAAAGGCAGAGCTACAGAAAGAGGAGAGAGAGAGAAAGAGAGAGGAAGAGATATCTTCCATCTGCTGGTTCTCTCTGAAGCCAGGAGCCAGCAGCTTCATCCAGGTCTCCCAGGTGGGTGCAGGGGCCCAAAGATTCGGGCCATCTTCAGCTGCTTTCCCAGGTGCAACAGGAGGGAGCAGGATCAGAAGTGGAGCAGCTGGGACTTGAACCGTCGCCCATTTGGGATGCCATTGCCCATCTGGGATGCTGGCACTGCAGGTGGAGGCTTAACCTATGCCACAGCAATGGCCCCTCAGGTCTCGCTTTTAAGCTTTGTTAGTTAGCATGAGAGAAGCATTTTGTCTAGGGCTAATCTTTCCCTGCTACTGAGGCAAGACCCTCCCCCAAAGCCCACTGAATTACGTAGTTTTCCACTTGGGCTGGTGGGACCAGCCACTTTCCTTGGCTTCCTGTGGGCTCCTCCCCTCTGTTACATTCATGGCTCTCCGCAAAGTCTCACCTACATTCTTGCATCAGCCAGATGTCCACAGATCTGCGGAGTCCTCTCCCTGAGCTGTTCTCTCCTTGCCAGTCCTCTGCTCACACACTCTAGCTGCTCGGCTCCCAAGCACGCCTGCCCCCATCTCTAACGTGGGGGGCTCTGCCTGAGGCAGTAAGTTAGGGCAATCTTGGGGCACAGCTTGTGTTTCCCTTCTCTCAGGGATCCCTGTCCTCTACTGCAAGATATTCAATGTTTTCAAGGCTACTGTTTCACACTTTATTGTTAAGATTTGTCTGTCGGAAAGGTAAACCAACAGAAAGAATCTTCCATCCACTGATTCATTCCCCAATGGCCACACAACCAGGTCTCGGCCAGGCCAAAGCCAGGAGCCAGAACTCTATCTGGGTCTCCCACAGGGGCAGCAGAGGCCCAAGAACTCGTCCACTGCCTTCCCAGGCACATTAGCAGGTGGCTGGATTGGAAGCAGAGCCACCAAGACTTGAACTCCAATATGCGATACCAGCATGGAACCCACTGCACCGCAACACCAGCTCCCCCATACATTTTTTAAAGTTCATTGATTTTTATTTATTTGAAAGAGTAACAGAAAGAGAGAGAGATATCTCCCACACTCTGGTTTACTTCCAGCCAGGGCTGGACCAAGTCAAATCCAGGAACTGGGAAGTGCATCCCAGTTTCCCAATACGTGGCAGGGACCCAAGTACTTGCGCCATCACCTGCTGCCTCCCAGGATGAGCAATAGCAGGCAGCTGGATCAGAAGCAGAGGTAGGGCCGGCGCCGCGGCTCACTAGGCTAATCCTCCGCCTTGCGGCGCCGGCACACCGGGTTCTAGTCCCGGACGGGGCGCCGGATTCTGTCCCGGTTGCCCCTCTTCCAGGCCAGCTCTCTGCTGTGGCCTGGGAGTGCAGTGGAGGACGGCCCAAGTGCTTGGGCCCTGCACCCCATGGGAGACCAGGATAAGTACCTGGCTCCCGCCTTCGGATCAGCGCGGTGCGCCAGCCGCAGTGCACTGGCCGCAGCGGCCATTGGAGGGTGAACCAATGGCAAAGGAAGACCTTTCTCTCTGTCTCTCTCTCTCACTGTCCACTCTGCCTGTCAAAAAATAAAAAAAAAAAAAAAAGAAGCAGAGGTGGGACTCCATCACAAACTGATATGGATGTGGGCATCAGAAGCAACAGCTTAACCCATGGCGCCCACCCCTGTTTCATATTCCATTTTAAAAAGTGCTTCAAATAAATTAATCTTGCCCCCATTATTCAATTTTAGCTAGAAGCAGAAAACGTTTCTAATTTTCTTAAGGATTTGCTTATTTATTTATTTGAAATGCAGAGCAACAGAGAGGATACGGAGATTTCCCATCTGCTGGTTCACTCACCAATTGTCTGCAACAGCCAGGGCTGGGCCAGGCTGAAGCCAGGAGCCAGGAGCTCCACCCCATGTGGTTGAGCTGAGAACTTCATCTCTGTCTCCCACATGGGTACCTGATGCATCATCTGCGGCTTCCCAGGTGCACAAGCAGGGAGCTACACTGGAAGTGGAGTAGCAGGGACTCCCAACTGGCACTCTGATGAGTTGTAGGCATCCCAAGAGGTGGCGTACCACTGCACCACATCTACCCTCGCTATTAATTTTTTGTCAGTCTTTATTACCTGATCTTGGTTTCTGGTCTACAATGATATTTTTGGTAACTTAGGAGATGTTTAAAAAATGTGTGCAAAAAGATGTGATTGAATCAGCTGTAGGAACAACCTGGATAAAACAGATGGGCTGGGGTGGACCTGGGCTACTGGGGAGGGCCTGTAGCTACCATCTCCCTTGAGAGAGTGAGGAGCAGGGCCTGACGTGGCACAGAGCGTTAAGCCATCGCCGATAATGCCAACATCCCATATGAACACTAAATTGAGTCCTGGCTGCTCCATTTCTGACCCAGCTCCCCGAACCCAGTGCACCTGGGAAAGCAGTGGAAATATGACCCAAGAACTTGGGCCCTTGAACCCACGTGGGAGACCTGTGGCCTGGCCCAGTCCTGGTTATTGAGACCATGTCGGGAGTGAAAGAGTGGATAGAAGATGCCACTCTCTCTTCCTGCCTCTCTCTAATTCTGCCCTCCAAATAAAATAAAATAAACTTTAAAAAGAAAAAAAGTGTGCAGAGGCTTTGTCTTGGGAGGTGAAGGGAGAGTACTGAAGGTAAGCCTTCCAACATGACCACATCCACTGCACTCTAGCCATCAAACATATTAATATACTTCCAAATCACACATGAAACATCATTTATATAACCAGTAGGCCAAAACAGTTTTCAAGAAAATGGATTAGGGCCAGCGCTGTGGTGTAGCAGGTTAAGCTGCGGCCTGCAACGCTGGCATTCCATATGGGCACTGGCTCAAGTCCTGGCTGCTCCACTTCCAATCCAGCTCCTTGCTGATGCATCCTGGGAAAGCAGCAGAAGATGGCCCAAGTGCTTGAAACCCTGCCTCCCACGTGGGAGACCCAGAAGCTCCTGGCTTCAACCTGGTCCAGCCCTGGTCATTGTGGCCATTTGAGGAGTAAACCAACAGATGGAAGATCTTTCTCTCCATAGCTCTGCCTTTCAAATGAATAAAGAATTGAAAAAAAAGAAAGAAAGAAAATTGACCTTACTTTGTTCTTTCTAATATTTTCAGGTGGCTCTTTCTCCAGCCTTGGGCAACTCCCTCGCCTACATCCATTTACCAGTGTCTTCTCCACTGGTTGTTCACGTCCACTTCTCTGCCCTAACCTAGTGGGCGCCCCGGGAACCCAGCCCTCGTGCTGACCGCGGGCGTCCCTTCGCCTCTCTCACTCCCTGGGTCCCACGTGGACTCACCCCTCCTGTTTGCCTCGTCCCATCCCTAGCTGCGGGGAGTTCCCTACGACGGAACACCTGCCACTGCGGTGTCCCCGCACCATGCACTCCATGACTCTGTGCGGAGAGGTGAGCAAGAAGGAATACGCGAAGAATGCGTGCCGTGGCAACACCTGGGAACTACCTGCCCGCCACCCAGACAACAGCCCACTGGTCTGAAACCGAGAGCAGTAAGCCTGGCACCTTCTCGTCTGGGTCTCGTCCTCCAAGAATGCCAGGTAGCCCCGTTCTACCCTAGCCCTGACCCTGACCCTGACCCTGACCCTGACCCTGACCCTAACCCTAACCCGAGAAAAATAAGAGAGGCTTTAAGGAGCGGAAGGACGACGGGCGGCGAGCGGCCGTCTCCACACCCTTTTCACCTGCACTCGACGGGACCCGGCCGGGGGCAGCGACAGCCACAAGATCCAGCAGCGCCCTCCCGAGGGCAGGCAGCGCGGGCGCCGGCGGTCTGCTCGGTGATTGGCTGCGCCGGCGCCGGCGCGCTCCTGACGTCAGAGGCGCGCGCCGCGCTTGAAGAGAGTGCGGGAGGCGGCGGCCGCTCCCGGGGCTGCTGTCATGGAGCTAGCGCAGGCAGCGCGGGAACTGGGCTGCTGGGCGGCCGACGAGATGGGAGTGCCCGCGGCAGCCCGGGCCCCGGAGTCGACGCTGCGCAGGTGAGGCCCGCGCCGGGGCTGAGACAGCCTCCCAGAGGGAGAAACCCGCGCCTTCATGGAGGACCCGACCACTGTCGCCCATTGAGAATGACCCCGAGTTAGCAAGCGCCGCCTTCTTTGTTCGGGAAGACGCCCTGGTGGGGACCCCACACTCCCGCCTCCCGCCAGCGCGGCGGCGCCGGAGAGGATCTGGCAGGAGTTCGTGAATACCCCGGCCCGGGTGGGAATGGGCTCTCCAGGGTGAAAATAAGACTTTCTCTCAGCTCCTCCCCACCCCCAGGCCACCCTAGCCGAAAGACAGGGACTGAATCAGAGCGAGTATGGCCCACATCTGGTCGTGGGAAGGACTGGCTAATCCTCCCCCGAGGAAATGAAGACCTCCACCCCACACACAGACACACACACACTTGATGAGAAGCCCACCCTCTCCGGGTCTAACAGTGCCCCAGGGGGGGGAGTATGTTACCCCGCAAAGATTCCCCTCCGCCCGGAAGCGAGAACTCCCTCATGAAGACTCCCAGGAGTGAGGGTCTTCCTCCCTGGGCACACCCTTACACACTGTCCCCGCAGGCTGTGTCTGGGCCAGGGGGCTGAGATCTGGGCCTACATCTTGCGACACGTGCACAGTCAGAGGTGAGCTGGGCTGGGGTGAGGGGTGGGGGATGGGGTCGGGCAATCCCCCCCCCCCAACTCCTCCTCCTTCCACCTCCCTGCTCTAGGAGTGTTAAGAAGATCCGAGGGAACCTGCTCTGGTAAGTGCCTTTCGGGGCTGCCCCAGCCCTGTCACCCTCCCTGGACCCCCAGGCAGACTCTGACCCTGGCCTCCTCTCCTTAGGTACGGCCACCAGGACAGTCCAGAGGTGAGAGCTCGTGCTGTAAGAGTCTCTTCCATCCGAAGAAGAGCTTGCAGCTCTTTGGCTCTGGGCCCAGCCTGCTGCTGGGGGCTGCTGGGGACCCTGCTGCCTCCCGCACCCTCGGGGCTTGGAGTCCAGGGGTGGACAGCCATGACCTGGGGTCTGGATTTGTGCAGTCAAAGCTGGTGAGAGGAGTTGGGGAGAATCGGGAGAGATGCTCAGGCCAGTGCTGGACCCAGTGGGTGCAAGAGGCCCAGATGACCTCTGAGGGGAGTTCCCAGAAGCCCCTGGGTGTTCTGGTTGTGGGTCTCAGGCAGGAGGTCAGGTCTGAGACAGAGATGTAGGGGTCAGCAGAGCAGAGACAGGAAACAGGCTGGGACGGTGGGTGAGGCAACCCCAGCAGGAAGGAGGCAGCCGGGAGAGCATCTTAGTTCTCTCCAGCACACAGCTGCTCTGGGAAAACCCTGTGCCGCCCCGCCCCTGGCAGGTCGGAGCCTGGGGCCCCACACAAGCCAGTCAGGCTAGGCTCAGCCCCAGTCAGTCTGTGCGTCTGATCCTGAACCTGATCCTACCAGGTCCGTCGGAAGTCGGAGCTGGAGGCCACGGTGGCCCGCCTGCGGGCAGAGATCCGAGAGTTGGACCAGAGCCTGGAGCTGATGGAGCGGGAGAATGAGGCTCACGGTGACCTACAGGGGCAGGCAGATGGGTGGTGGGACATGGGAGAGGGGAAGTGCTGGCAGCCACCCCTGTTCCTCCCATAGAAGCGGCTGTGGAGCAGGCAGTGCAGACCGTGCGAGACACCCAGCGTCGTGCTGTCCTCCTCCGGGCCCAAGCAGGGGCCATGAGAAGACAGCAGCGTGGGCTCCAGGACCCCATGCAGCGGCTGCAGAATCAGCTCAGCCGCCTGCAGGACATAGAGAGGTAGGCCTCGGGTGTCCAGGGAAGCCCCCCAGGCTGGCCGGCCAGCCCTTTGGCTTAGGGACCCAGTGCTTTGGTCCCTGCTGGGATTCCGGGACACTGAGCTCCCATCCTTAGGACTCAAGGTCCCTGAGGCCAGGGAGATTTGTCATCTCAGTCACCTGTATCTCTAGTGCCCAGAATAGTGCCAGCGGTGTCTCTAGGGAGCAAAGGACAAGCCTAGCCCTCCTGAGCCCCCTCTCTGATGGGGAGAAGACAAATCGCAAACTGGAAACAGACCCTGTAGTTCCCGGTAGAGAGAAATTCCTTGAAGACAGGGTGATGCAGTACAAAGGAGGGCCTCTCTGAGGAGGTCACGGTTGGGAGAGGGAACAAGAAGAGCAGAGGCCTAGAGCTTGGTGTGCGGGAAGAGCAGCCAGAGGCCAGCTCAGCTCCGGATCTGCAGGCGACAGGTAGAACACAGGAGGTGAGTTTGAAGAAGTGGGCAGAGCAGAGACCCGTGGAGGCTGTGGCAGTGAAGACGAGGGGACCCGGTCCATGCCCCGGCACGGCTACTGAAAGCACATGACCTTGGGCAAGATATTTAACTTTTCTGTGCCTCAGTTTCTAAATGATATGGAATGGGATAGTATTACTACCAACCTTACGGGGTAGATGATAGGTGAGTTATAGCTCGTAAAATGCTTTACAGGGTGCCGGTCAACCCTTCTTATTCTGAGAGATGGGAAAGCACCAGATTGCTTTGGAGGGTTTTGAACAGTGGCATGATCTTCCTTGTGCTCTAATATTTTACTCTTTATTTATTTTAGTTAAAAGGTAGAGAGACAGAGATCTGCCATCCACTGACTCAATCCCCAAATACCTGCAACAGCCTGGACTGGGCCAGGCCAAAATCAGGAGCCAGGAGCGCAATCCGGGTCTCTCCTATGAGTGGTCGAGACCCAGCTACTTGAGCCCTTGCGGGCCGCCTCCTAGGGTGCGCATCAGCAGGCTCAACCTGAGCTCTCCAGTGCGGGAGGCAGGTGTCCCGGCAGCATCACAGTCTGCACCGAATGCCTGCCCTCTCAGGTTGTGACAGAGCCATTGACCGCTGGGTGGAGAACAGACCACAGGGGCTGAGCGGGGAGACCGGGGAAGAGGCTAAGGCAGTCTTCAAGCCGGGAGGTGGCGGGGACCTGGCATCCAGGCGTGGTGATCCTCGGCTGGTCTCGCTGGCAGTGGGGTAGGGATGGGGCATAGACATCTGCTCTCCCCGCCTCCCCCTCCTGGGAACCCTGCCGCAGCTCTGTTCCTCCCTTCAGGAAGGGCAAGGTGGATGTGACCTTTGGACCCCTGACATCAGCATCCCTGGGCCTGGAGCCCGTGGTCCTGGTAAGAGTCCTGGGCCATGGAGGAAGGCAGGGGAGCCCAGGATCAGGCAGATGCCCGGGTCCCCTTCACACCCCATCCTCTTCTCCCAGTGTGATGTCCGAACAGTCTGCACCCTCCGGGCCCAGTTCTTGCAGAACCTCTTGATTCCGCAGGCCAGGGAAGGCAACACCCTGTGAGTATCTCCCAGACCCCAGGTCCCTCCATAAACCCGGGCCTTGAGGAGACCATTTGTTTATTGGTTCCTCAGACAGAGCTGGGCTCTGGCAGTCCCAGGCCCTCTCTGACAGGGCTTCCAGGCTGGGAAGAAAAGACCCAACACACTCAGTGATGTCCTGATAGTTAGGGCTGTTGGCTCAGGGGTCGGTGGGGGGGCCTGCTGAGGCCCTGCATACCCAGCTAAGGAGGCAGGGCGGGGAGGACTCTCTGGTGAGGAGGCGTAGCTGTGGTAAGGGGTTAAGAGGTTGTCCCAGGTAAACCACACAGGTAAAAGTCCCAAGGCCAGCAAGCTGGTAGGGTTGGGGAGCTCCAGGCTAAGCAGACATGGCTGGGGACAGGGACAGCCCCTCCCTTGGAGGGTGGTGGGGTAATCAGAGGAACAGCTCATGTGACTTAGAACATTCTCCGTCCACCCTCTCGACCCCACAGAACCGCTCACGATGACCACTTTGGAACTTCCTACCAGCAGTGGCTTAGCTCGGTGGAGGTGAGGGCCAGGGCTCTCAGGAAAGGCCGCGCCCCCAGCCCCGTGATCCACCCTCGGGGTGCCAGGACCTGACTCTGGATCCCGTGGGCTCCCAGCCCCAGCCCTGCTCTAGTCTGCCCTGACTTTCCTCCTCTCTCCCACCAGACACTGCTGACGAACCATCCCCCAGGCCACGTCCTGGCTGCCTTGGAGCACCTGGCCGCAGAGCGGGAGTCAGAGATTCGGTCCCTGTGCGGCGGGCAGGGGCTCGGAGACGTGGAGGTCCCCAGGTATGGACTGGAGTGTTCCTGCAGGCGCAGCAGATGGGCGGGTGAGCTGGGACAGGGTCACAGCCAAGCATCACCTTCTGAGAGGGGCAGAAGGGAAACCCAGTGCCCAGCGTGGCAGGCGGGCTAATCCTAGCCACCCCAGGCACCGAGGCGGGCGCGCTGGCCTGCTCCCTCAGCTGCTTTGTCCTTGCCCCAGGCCTCAGGCCCTGGACCAGTCAGACTCCAGCCAGGCCCTGCCGTCCATGGCGCAGCTCATCCAGGTAACCCCTGGCTGCAGCCCCTCCCACCCCACTCAGTCTCCTCACCACCGTGGACCACACCCACCCTGACTTTGCAACCATCCCCCACCAGGAGGGCTGGCGGACTGTGGGCTCACTGGTCTCCCAGCGGGGCACCCTGCTCAAGGAGCGTCAAGTCCTGAGAAGGCGCCTCCAGAGCCTGGTGGAGGAGGTGGAGAGACACACCCTGGGATCCAGCGAGAGGTGAGGGGCAGGGGCCTCTGGGCCTGTCCTCTCGCAGGCGTCTTGGGATTTTGGCCTTGTCCCGCCCTGTGACTCCCCTCTGTCTCCGTGCGCAGCCCTGCAGAGCTCGTCTCCCTCCCCCGGTGTGCATCTCAGCCCGCCTCCTCTCCTTTACTCCCTTGCGCGTGTCCCCCAGGCAGGCGCTGATGCTGGGGCTGCGGAGCTGTGGCCTGTGGGCAGAGCTCAAGGCCCTGCGTGCCCAGAGCCAGGAGCTGGAGGAGGCAGCTGGGCGGCAGCAGCTTCTGCTGAGGGAGCTGCAGGCCAAACAGCAGCGGATCCTGCGCTGGCGCCGGCTGGTGGTGAGAGACGGGGCTTGGACAAAGTGGCAGGGCCTGAGCGTCTAGAAAAGGGCCCCCTGGGAGGAGGGGGCAGCACCTGTGCGGGCGGGGCGGGGGCTGGGAGGTGCGGAGAGGAGGCCTTAGTCTCGAGGCCTCGTGCTTCCAGGAGGAGACACAGCAGCAGATCCGCCTGCTCATCAAGGGCAACTCAGCCAGCAAGACCCGCCTGTGCCGGAGCCCCGGGGAGGTGAGGTGGGGATGGGCGGGGTCTGAGGACGGACGGGTGTGACGGAGTGGACTGGGCCGACCCAGCCGTCCCGCCCCCCCCCCCCCCAGGTGCTGGCCCTGGTGCAGCGGAAGCTGGTCCCCACGGGTTGAGGGGGGGGGACCGGAGAAATCGGGGAGCTGCTCCCGCTGTTTTGGAGGAGGAAGGGCGGGCACCTGCCCCACCCTTTCGCTGAGCACCCTGGTTGGGGGGGGAGCCCCCGGAGGGGGGAGGGTTGCCCCCCCCCCCCCCCGCCACCCTGGGGGGGGGTGGCCACTTCCAAAATTTTTGGCCCTCGGCCCCCCCCAGTCGCCTCCAAATTCCTGGGTCCCCACAGCTTTGAGAACCCAGGCCTGAGCCTACCTGAACTTTGCCCCCAGGTTGGAACCCCTGCCCACGATCCTCCCATCCATCTACCAGCTGCACCCTGCATCCCCGCAGGGCTCCAGCCTCACAGCGCTGGGCCACACACTGGGCCTTCCCCGGGGGAAGGTGAGTACCTGTGCCCTGGGACTTAGCCGCCTCCCTCATCCCCACTCCCACTCAAGTGCCGGTCTGTCCGCTCCTCCAGGCAGCAGAGCTGCTCCTGCCGAGGGCTGCCTCTCTTCGCCAGGACCTTCTGTTCCTCCAGGACCAGCGGAGCCTCCGGTGCTGGAAGACCGGGCTGCCGCCGGGACCATCCACCCAGGGTAGGCCCGCCCTGCTTCCCCCATGCAGCACCTGCCCTACCCCAGGACTGTTGGCCTCGAGAAGTGACAGCAAACAGATCCCTCACGTACACAGCGCTTACTGTGTCCTGAGCGTTTTACACACATGCCCGGTAACCCGTGCATAAGCGCTGCCGGTCTCCCGTTTTAGGAAGGGGGGCAGAGCTGGACTTGAATCCAGGCAGTCTGCCATGGGTCAGTGCTCCCAGTCACTATGCAGCACCGCCCATCAAATTGCCAAGTCTTCAAATAGGTTACTTGAGTGACTAAGTCTGGGTGCGGAGTTAACTTACCTAGATTCTCTTCCCAGCCCTGTCTCCTCTTAGCTCTGTGACCCCCTGTGCCTCCGTCTCCTCTTCAGTGGAATGAGCATCTGATAGTGTCTTGCAGAGTGGCCGGGAGGGCGAGGTCAGGTCACCCCCAGGGTGCTGAGAACAGTGCCTGGTATGCAGTAAGCACCTGTGTTTCTGGGGCGATGGAGACGGCTTTCTGCACACACACACAAAGGCACATGCACACACATACATGGACTCTGCATCCTGGGGTGATTGTGACACACACACGCACACACACACATGATCTCTCTGCGTCCTGGGGCAATTGTCTCGCACACGCACACGCACACACACATGGTCTCCCTGAGTCCCGGGATGATTCTGACAGCTGTCTGCACACACACACACACACCGTCTCTCTGCGTCCTGGGGCAATTATGACGCACACACACACACGGTCTCTCCAAGTCCTTCCATGAGGGAAGGGAGTATGGCGATTCCCAGTGTCATACTCCCTGAACAAAACACCCCTAGAGTGAAGGCCTGGAGCAGTCGGAGGAGGAAGGCCTGGGCTGAGGGATGCTGGGAAGGTGCTTCTGGGAGGAAGGATGCTGTCTCACATGGCTCTGAGGAGAGGTCGGGGTTCGCCCAGGTGTGATGAACAAAGGCCATATGGGGCAAACTCCTCAGTGCCCGGCTCTGGAGCAGGGGCTCTGTCTTGGGAGAGCCGAGGAGCCTTGGAGGGTTCTGAGCAGGGGAGGGGAGGACCAGGTTCAGGCTTCAGGACAATCACTCTGGCTGTCTATTTTTTTTTTTAAGATTTATTTTATTTATTTGAAAGAGTTAAGAGAGGTAGAGACAGAGAGAGGTCTTCCTTCTGCTGGTTCAGTCCCTAAATGGCCACAACGGCCCAGAGCTGAGCTGATCCGGAGCCAGGAGCTTCTTCCGAGTCTCCTCTGTGGATGCAGGGGCCTAAACACTTGGGCCATCCTTCTCTACTTTCCCAGGCACATTAGCAGGGAGTTGGATCAGAAGTGGAGCAGTTGGGACTCGAATTGGCACCCACATGGGATGCTGGCACTGCAGGCCAGGGCTTTAGCCTGCTGCACCACAGTGCCGTCCCCTCTCTGGCTGTCTTATGGAGGGTGTACCACAGCCTGGAAGGGAAGCTGAGGGGCAGAGTAGGAAGAGGCGGGGGAACCCTCAGGAAACTGGGTGGGTGGGCCCTAGAGACTGACAGACTGTCAGTGGGAGGGAGGAGGGCATCCAGGGTGAGGCCTGGGGTGGTAGGATTTCCCTTTGAGGTGACCCGCTGGGAGCGATGGGTTTGGGAGACACGCTGAGGTCAGGATGGCTGTAGAGCGCCCGTGAGCCAGGGGACTCAAAGCCACCTGCGGCCTCCACCCTGCAGAGCTGCTGCAGCTCCAGGCGTCGCAGGAGAAGGAGCAGAAGGAGACTCTGGGGCAGGCTCTGAAGAGGCTGGAGAAGCTGCTGAAACAGGGGCTGGAGCGAATCCCCGAGCTGCAGGGCGCCGTGGGGGACTGGTAGGCGGGGGACATTCGGGGTCAGGGCGCCAGGGGAGGTCAGTGACCCGGGAGGGCAAGGCCCTTCTCTGATGCCTGCCTCTCCCCAGGTGGGAGCAGCCGGGCCAAGCTGCCCTCTCCGAGGAGCTCCGCCAAGGCCTGTCCCTGCCCCAGTGGCGGCTGCGCTGGGTCCAGGCCCAGGGGGCCCTACAGCAGCTGTGCAGATGAAGAGGGGCTCGAACAGGAGCCAGACTCCGAGAAGCACTCGGAAGAAAGCGTCTCCACAACCCAGCAGCCCTTGTCTCGGGCCACACTGCAGCCCCGCTCACGTGCTCTTCTGCCGCTCCTCTCTAGTCCCTTGCCCCGTCCCTTCATCCCCCCACTCTGGGCACCCCTGAAGCTCCTCTTGTCACTCTAACTCTCAAAAAAAGTAAGTGAGCACCTGCTCCAGATGCCGGGGCTACAGCGCTGAAAGAAAAAAAAAACACAGCATGCAAGTCCCTGTCTTCCGGGAGTGCTGTTCCAGGACAGTGTGTTTGATGGTTGGCAGAGAGAATGCTGGGCAATAACCGCCAAGAGAAACAAAGCGGGTCGGGAGTGTGGTTTTAAATAGAGAGCTACCCTGCAAAGGCCCCGTTCCCCGTGAGTGTCCAAGGAAGGGCTGTGGGTGGCAGCTGTGGCACACGCAAAGGCCCTGAGTGGGGATGGGCTGGTGCCGGGGCCATCAGGGAGGCCCAGGCGCGTGTGGCTGGAGGGGAGAGGTGGGATTGTGTTCTAGTTTTACAGTTGCTGTTTTTACATTTAAATCTGGGCCATGTGGAACTTATCGGCAAGCAGAACCAACTGTATTTTATTTTATATGTAAGTCTGATCCCTGTAGCACTTAGTAAGAGTCCCAGTGGCCTGTGAGGGAAGGGTGGGCGGCAGAGGTCAGTGAGGAGAAAGGAGACTTTCCCGGGTGATGGAGTGGAGTGTGCAGGACACAGATGGCTGCACCCCGCAGGCCTGGGAGTCTCGCTGTGTGGACTGTTCTTCAGGATGAAGTAGAACTCCTCCCACGGGTTTGAGATGCCACCTTTTCATGCGCTAAGTTCCATGGTTAATTGGGCAGTCTGTGTGTATCTAACTCTCCACGTGGCATTGCCACAGTGCTTTGATTATGAAGGCTCTGTGATATCTTGTAGTATCTGAAACGGCTGGTTGCCCTCTTGCTCTTACTTTCCAAAGTTTCCTTGTTTCCTTGCTAATTTTTCCTCCCAAATGAAGAGAAATTTGTATTTAACCTTCCTAGCTGCAGATAAAAAAACAAATGGATGACCACTTGCCGTCTCTGCCGTCTTAAACTTTGTTGTCCACCTCCCTCCTCACAGCTCCTCTAAGGAGCTGAACCCCTCACTCCCAGCTTTCCCTTCCAGCCCTGTTGCCTCATCCCGGCCTTTACACATCCAGTGTCCCCCACACAATCCCTAGTAGTCCCCCTTCCCTCTCCTCATTACCGTTCCCAGCCCCCACTGCCCAGCTGAGCTCCAAATGTAGGGGACCTTAGCCTCTTACTTAATTTTTCCCCATAGCACACCTTCTAACATGAATTGTTTTCGCTTTAATTACATGTATCTTGTATTTTTTCCTTAAATAGAATGTGCACTCCATGAAGGGGAATCCCTTTGTAAACTAGAAGTTGGGCAGAACTTTCTAAATACGGTCAAAGTCGAGATGCAGTAGGGGGGCTGTTGATCAGTTCGGGGCAGCAGTTAAGATGCTGCTTGGGACTTCCACATCCCCCATCAGAGTGCCGGGGGAGACTCCGTGACAGCTCACGTATTTGGATCTGTGACATCCATGTCAGAGGCCCAGATTGAATTCCCGGCTTCCGATTTTATCTTGGCCCAGTCCTGGTTGTTACGGGTATCTGGAGAGTAAACTAGCAGATGGAAGGTCTCTACATTTCAAATAAATAAATAAAAATGTATTGATGAATTTGACGACATAAAAATAAGTTTTGCATAGCAAAAAAAGTGAGAAAAATAAAAATGGAGTTGTCAAAAAATATTTGCAGCCGGCGCAGGCGCTTAGTGCGGTTGTTACCATGCCAGTACTACACCACTTTACATAAAGGCTGTGGAAGCTGATATCCACACGGAACCAGTCTCCCAAGGACACCAGAGGACAACCAAATCCGCCTACCACATCAACCCTAAATCTTTTTTTTTTTTTTTTTAAACAGGCAGAGTGGACAGTGAGAGAGAGAGACAGAGAGAAAGGTCTTCCTTTGCCGTTGGTTCACCCTCCAATGGCCGCCGCGGCCGGCGCGCTGCGGCCGGCGCACCGCGCTGATCCGATGGCAGGAGCCAGGAGCCAGGTGCTTTTCCTGGTCTCCCATGGGGTGCAGGGCCCAAGCACTTGGCCCATCCTCCACTGCACTCCCTGGCCACAGCAGAGAGCTGGCCTGGAAGAGGGGCAACCGGGACAGAATCCGGCGCCCCGACCGGGACTAGAACCCGGTGATCTAATCAAGCTTCTGCTTCTCACTGCAGGCAGAGGGCAAAGAGGCAGTGAGAATCAGCTGAAGAAAATTAGAAGGCTATAGTAATCGTCAAATGTGGGACGCCCTATGGGACAATTGATCCAGTGTCCTCAATTAAAAGAAGGCCCAAAATGGGGGGAAGAGAGAGAGGAAGAAAAAGGCAGAAAGTGAGAACTTTACAGGTTAAGAAGATAGTATTTTAAAAGCTGGGGCAATTTAAACAATAAGTAAAGTGGTATTGAATTATAACCTGAAGTATAAAGTAGGTACAAGTCCACACTGCATATAAATGAGGGACGAGAGAAATCTCCCACACAATTCCAGACAACTTAAGTTGACATTCCACTCGCCAGGAGGTAGGCTAACTCCTCCTGGAGATGGGTGGTGTAGGGTGACTTCTCTTCTACACAGCATGGAAAGGGTGTGCAAAGAGAAGTGAAATCGAACACCACCTTAGCCAGGTGACCAGAGTCCGCATCAGCAGATAAGTCATGGATAGTATGTATCCTTGACACGGGATGAAAATTGCACTTCTCGGAGCTGGCACTGGGGCATAGTAGACAAAGCCTCCACCTGCGGTGCCGGCAGCCCATATAGGTTCCTGTCCTGGCTGCTCCTCTTCAGAGCGGCTCTCTGCTATGGCCTGGGAAAGCAGTGGAGGATGACCCAAGTGCTTGGGCCCCTGCACCCACATGGGAGATCCATAGGAAGCTCCTGGCTCCTGGCTTCAGATCTGCTCAGCTCCAGCTATTGGGGCCATTAGGGAGTAAAACAGATGGAAGACCTCTCTGTAACTCTACCTCAAATAAAGAATCTTTAAAAAAAAAAAAAAAACACCTGCACATCTGTGGCCTGTGCACACACACATACAAAATACAAAACCATGACCCCAGTCTAATAATGAGAAAACCTTAGCCATAGCCATGTCCCAGATGTGAAGTCTGTTTACAAAGCACCTAGCCAGTTCTTCAAAACTGCAGGATTATCAAAGACAAGGAAAGTGCGTGGGAAACTATTACAGGCAAGAGCGGCCCAAGGAGGTAAGACAACTCCAGGGAATGTGCCCTAAATGAGATGTTGGAACAGAAAAGGGATATTAGCTTAACATTCATAAAGTATGGACTTTAGTTAGTAACAGTGGGGGATGTGGGAAGCTTTAGTTCTCTCCTTACCACATCTTTAGCTCAGAAACAAACCAATATTTGGGAGACCAGCAGTGTGGCACAGGGGGTTAAGCTGCCACCTACAATGCAGGCATCCTATGTGAGCGCCGGCTTGAGTCCCAGATGCTGTGTTTCCAATCCAGCTCCCTACTAATGCCTGGGTAAATAGGCCAGGATGGCCCAAGTGCTTTGGTCTCTGCACCCACCTCGGAGGCCCACATGGAATTCCAGGGTCCTGGAAAATTGCTTTTTAAAAATCGTGGGCAGGCCGGCGCCGCGGCTCACTAGGCTAATCCTCCACCTAGCGGCGCCGGCACACCGGGTTCTAGTCCCGGTCGGGGCGCCGGATTCTGTCCCGGTTGCCCCTCTTCCAGGCCAGCCCTCTGCTGTGGCCAGGGAGTGCAGTGGAGGATGGCCCAGGTGCTTGGGCCCTGCACCCCATGGGAGACCAGGAAAAGCACCTGGCTCCTGCCTCCTGCCATCGGATCAGCGCGGTGCGCCGGCCGCAGCGCGCCGGCCGCGGCGGCCATTGGAGGGTGAACCAACGGCAAAGGAAGACCTTTCTCTCTGTCTCTCTCTCTCTCACTGTCCACTCTGCCTGTCAAAAAAAAAAAAAAAATCGTGGGCAGCCGGCGCCGCGGCTCACCAGGCTAATCCTCCGCCTGCCGCACCAGCACATCGGGTTCTAGTCCCGGTTGGGGCGCTGGATTCCGTCCCGGTTGCCCCTCTTCCAGGCCAGCTCTCTGCTGTGGCCGGGAGTGCAGTGGAGGATGGCCCAGTCCTTGGGCCCTGCACCCCATGGGAGACCAGGAGAAGAACCTGGCTCCTGCCTTCAGATCAGCGTGGTGCGCCGGCTGCAGCGGCCATTTTTGGGGTGAGCCAATGGAAGGAAGACCTTTCTCTCTGTCTCTCACTGTCCACTCTGCCTGTCAAATTAAAAAAAATAGAAAAGAAAAAAAGATTGTGGGTAATATCATCTGAACACTCGAGATGGACTTGGACTCAGGAAGTGTGGTGAAAGTGAGACATCATTACATCAGTCTTGCAAGATCAGTGGCAGGAGCAGGCACACCAGAGCAGGCCACAGCAACTTATATCCTAGCACACAGGTCCCGCCTTGCTTCCTCACTGCCTGAGAACTTGGTGTGTGTGTGGGGGGGGTTACAGCGTAGCTGCATAAGTTACAAATTTGCCCTCCTCCTTCCTTCTCTGGTGGAATGAGAAGGCCATGCCAATATGGCCACTGGCAACAGAAACTGCCTGGCAACAGGCTGTGATTGGATGGCTTTGGAAACCACATGACAAGGGAGCCTGCCTGGCAACAGGGTGTGACTTAACGCATCAAGGAAGTCTCCCACTAAGCACAGGACAAATGTATGATCTGATACACCACTGTCTGTTCATCTAACGTAGGGAACCCCCTGCATAATGCCATCAGCCACTGAGGTGCTAGGAATTTGCCTTGTTATGGCAGCAGTGCTGTACGTCTTTCCTTTGGCTAGAGTTGGCGTGGCGCACCGCTCTTAAGTGCTCGAACATGGGAAATATACACCCCTCTCAGAATCCCATGCAGATTACCAAACATAATGAATCCATAAGTGATAAGAGCCTGACACTCCAGGTCCCTGCCTCACAGACAACAGTTGATGACTTAGGGAAAGAGAGCTCTGACAGTGAAAATGACATGACAGCAGACAGGTAGCAATGCCTGGTCAGCCACCCCCCAAATATCCGTGGGATTAACTTAGATGACTTCAAGGTGATAACCCATGTGAGGTCATCCCATCCGCACCCAGTGAGGATCCCCACATTTGTGGCAGTTCCCAGGCACCCCAAGCTCTCAGGGCAGATACTAGACCCCATCCCACCTGCACATTTGCCGTTAATGTAAGAACAGATGCAGAATTCAGGCCCTGGGTTCCAACAGCTGTAAAAAGGCTTCTGCTAACCAAGGATCGAGGATATACTTGTGTCTTTCCAGAGAATGCGGGACAGCCCATTTGGGTACCAGCCAGAAACATCAAGCCTGCAACTGACAGCCAACCAGAACCAGTTGAACAAGACTGAGGGTCCGTCTTGTTAGCGGACACACCTGCCCTATCATCCTACCCTGAGGAACTGCCCATAGCCATATCCATTAATGCTTTATACCCCACTAGCTCTGGTCAGCCACTCAAATGGCCCACAGCCTGCATGCAGTCACACCATTCCTGATTACCATTGTTCCTCATTCCTACCCCCATCTGAGCAAGCACTCCTGTGGTCTCCCGTTTTGAGCACTGGTAAGTCAATGACGGGTAAGATCCCCTGGGGGACAACCTAAGACAGGCACAGATGCAAATGGAGACCACATGGAAAGTCAACAATGGTATGGCCAAGAATCATGCCTCCCATTGCTCAAAAATTAACGAAAAGGGGGAAATGTGTTGGAATGAGAAGGCCATGCCAAGATGGCCGCTGGCAACAGAAACTGCCTGGCAACAGGCCGTAATTGGATGACTTCAGAAACCACACGACAACAGAGCCTGCCTGGCAACAGGCTGTGACTGGATGGCTTCAGAAACTGCCTGGCAACAGGGTGTGATTGGTTAGGGCATAGACCACCCCTTGACCAGATTGGCTGCCTTGGCTATATA